ATTTGTTTCTCCACCAATTCTCAATCGCGAGCGTGATATACGTACCAGCCTAGCGGTGATGAGACCGCCCGTATCACGATATACAATGTTCGCTCGTTTTTCAGAATTTTTTATAAACTTTATAGTATTTAAAAAAATTTTAAGAAAATGCAGTACTAAAAATTTAATTAAAAATTTTTTTTTAATTCTTAGAGCTCTACAAGAAAAAAATAAATAATTTTTATTTCTAGTTATTTTTCGGTAAAGTTGATAAATTTGAATAAAAAATTATTGAAACCAATAATTTTGTAAATATTTCTGTAAATATCTTAGAAAATAGAGGTCGTATAAAAAATGTTTGCAAACAAAACTTGTTGGCTCCTTTACATAGAATAAAATACTAATTAAAAATAAAATGTTTCTATTTAAAAAGCAACGTTGACCTTCGAATAACTTTCAAAAGGACCTCGAAAGCCAAAATCAAGGTCACTTTCAGATGTCCCCCTCTAAAGCCGATAACTTTTGTCTGAAACATTTTTGCTAAATATACTGTGCTGAAGAAATATCACAGTGGATAATTTAAAATGGGACACTCTGTACTTCAAATATTCGACATTTTCTATTAAAACTCGAGACAAACATTTTCATTGACCTAATATAATAGAGAGTAGGTTAAATATTAAAATAATGTTACCCAAAAATTCGTTGATTATTCTAGATGATAAGAGGATATACAGGGTTTCCAAGATTTGTCTCCGCAACGTTCGTAGAAACGTACATCGGTTTGAGATGAACTTGAAAGTTCCATACTGTTTTGTGATGTTTACATTAAATCTTGAGATACTCATTCTGGAAGATTGAAGATTGATTACACGCAATGGACAGATGGGTTATTGTAAAAATGTAAGCTATCATATGTTTGTACATTTAATCAAATTGAGCAAAATATTTATTATTTTGCAAATTACTACCTAAAGTTTTAGTTATTTATAAAAAAAGATCGTTGTATATTTGCCCAGATAATAGCACAAAATCTTCAGAGAATGTCCTAGGATATTCTGAAGATGTATGATTGCCCGTCTAGAAACACTTTAGAACGTCTTTTGAAGATTTGTGCTGTATGAGTGTGTGCGATCATGCACTAATGTTCTTTGCTTATTGTCTAAAAGTCCATGTGGTCAGTTGCAATATGATAGAGGACTTTTATGTTCAATTTGAATTAACATATAAAGTATAAAACGGCAGACGGCGCCACAACTCATTTAACATATCGGGCATGATTAATCACCAATTTCTTTAATTAATATTTACATACTTTTTGCGAATATCGCAAAACGGTATAGAACAATTATATGTTCTCCTCAGTATGTTCTTCGTTCCAATAATCTTAGATTACATTTTGTGAGGATCAATCAGTGACATACTGTATGTTAGAATATGCGACGACGCGTGTGCTAAATTTTCCCTCGGTTCTTGCAAGGATTTTTTTGGATATAATGAATTTTACTAAATTTAAAAAAGTTTGTCTATTAGAATAGTCCAAATAAACAAATTTTTAACCAGGCAAATACTATTGATCGACATTACGAACAATTCAATTATATGATCCATGAAAGAAAATAATTTTATATAATTTTCTTTTTTTGCAAAAATGATTCCGTAATACTGTTCAAATAATTTTAAGAAACTTAATTTTCTTTTCTCGTGTTACCGTGATAATCTGTCATTGTTATTACATCACCGTATGTGGCCTTCCGAAATCGTGATATTTTACATAAATATTCCTTCATTCGGTGATCGGTACGAATACCCATCTTTCTTACTGATCACGGTCTAGATTATTTGACTTTAACAAATGTGTAGAAATTAGAAATGCCAATTAGCTCCAACTGGTTGGCAGTTGCACTGAGTAAAATACTTGAAAATGTATTTGTGGTATATAAAATTTTTGTGAAATAAAATTTATTTCTATATACTTGTCCCCCTCATTGCATTTTATCTCCAACAAATGAATATTAAAATATATTAGATTTGGTTTCCGGGTTTGAACCACGTGAATTCATCATTGTTTGATTCAGACGTTACGCGAACATTTCACTCCGTTTCATCAGGGAAGAACAACCTGATACCGAGTTG